ACTCACCTGATTACAGCTCCAACAGATAGAAAGCAATAGTAACAGTATGTAATACTCAGATCAGATAAGGTACTATTTTTTTTGATTCACTTGTATGATTACACCATTCCTAAAAATATTTTAAACTTGTTTCATTAATTAAATCTGTTTCGATTGTATTTCTACTATCATTATGAATTCGATTCAGATGAAAATATTCCTACAGCCATTATAGATTAAAATTCAATTTAGAACTTTCTCTGTTATGTTAAATTAAAATTACACTTTTCTATTCGAATTTCTCTACGATTACTAGTTTTGCTTACCTTTTTTTCAAATTAATCCCAGTTGACAATATTTTTATTAATGTTATTAATTGCAATCATTTTTTTTCCCGTTTGGATTAAATCCGGTTGAAAATATTTTTTGCCAATTATTTTTGAAATTGAATGCGGATGAAAACATCTTTCCACTATCATTGTTAATTATTTTAGCTTAGAATTACCGATCGAGATGATATTTTTATCGTTATCGGCTACAGCTAATTTTTCTCATCCATTTAGCCAAGAATTTTGCAAATATGCAAAATATTTGAAAATTAATTTATGAAATTTATCTTCAACTCTTTCCAAATTTCTTTTGACAATATTTTTTTCATAATATTTCGGCAATAACCAGTAGTAGTGGTAGCAGTGGTAATAGTAGTAATTTGACGATATGAAGAATGATAAGGCAAAATAAAAGTATGCAAAACAAAAAAAAAAAAAAACTAAAAAGAAATAAATCATTAAAAGGTTTTTGCGATAATTTCACGGCAAAGAAATAGGAAAAAAATAAACATTGAATTTTGTTGTATTTCCTGTAAATTTTCAAATTTAGGGATGAAAATAAATATATTATGAATAACTAACTATCGCCTTTTACTCTTCTAATATTCAATAAATCTTAGATATATATTAAATTTTCGAAACAACTTTATGATGAAAATTATTCATAATGATTTTGTTTAATTCATTCTCATCATATCAGTCGTATTGACAATATGAAATTAAATGATGTGCAACATTTTCCAACTTTTCTGCAAGATATCGTTATATCATAATCAGATTACATACACATAATTAAATTCTCCACATATTTTATAAAAATTGAAAATAATGGAAAAAAAAACAAAAAAGATTAAGCAAAATAAACGATAGTTATGAAGCTAAAATAAAATGCTAAAATTCAACCTTTTGAGCGTATGCATGCATCACTTCCTTCAACAAGTCACCATTACTGTTAGCTGAATTATCCTTTGAACCTAAGCCATTCATAGCAACAATAGCATCCCAATTCGATGATACTGATTGTTGTTGTTGTTGCTGCCGTTGTTGTTGTTGTTGTTGTTGTTGTTGCTGCCGTTGTTGTTGTTGTTGCTG